CGAGAGGCGGCCCGAGGGGACAGTGGGTGGCGGGCCCGCGGGTATGAAATTAAGGGATAAAGAAAGTAGGGAGGACGCCCAGTCAACTGACCTCTAAAAATCAACAAAGAATGTTAAAAAAAGAAAATAGGGAGGAAGAAGGAAAAGGGGCAAGTCGGTGTCTCATCTGTGGTCACAGGGAAGGACACCATTTTCGGCAAGTTCGTGCCGAGGCCGGTTCCAGCGATGCGGCTACCGAAAGGCCCGAGCAGCTTAGGGGAAACCCTAAGTGTCACGGTGGCTGTACTATGGCCACAAGGTGGCGCGGAAAAATCACAAACTTGTAACAAAGGGGATGCGCCTCTTGGGCTCATCTTCACAGGCATTGCTGCAATCCCGTGATTGTTAGAATGAATATGAAATTATTTTTTTTTACGGCCCTGATAATGAGAGGAACAATTTGTTTCGTTTTTTTTTCAATGATACAATTGATTTTAAGTTGACAATAAAATTAATCTTTAGGCAGACTTTTATGTCTGTACCCATCAGGCAGCTCTGTTAACTGCTCGTAGATCTCTTCACTTTTTCAGAACATTAAATGAAAATATAATGGACTAAAAGGTGTTCTATTTTTCCTTAAAGATATTTTCTAAATAGCAGTTAAGATTTGAGGTGTCAGTGATCTTTGTAGTCATTTACATGAATTCCAAATTTTGATCCTAGTGTTATCTAACTTGGTGTGATTTATAGTTGCATGAGTCTGGTTTGAAATTTGTTGTGGAGTCCATGAACTTTGGTGCCAGTAGATTGGGTAATGACAACCTGAAGGAAGGGAGTGGCTACTCTCCCAGGCTTCAAGGCTAGGCACTATCTCTCATTGGCCTCCCTTGAAAGAGTATTCCACCCAAGGAAGCACATATTATTTTCATACGGATAGTCATTTCTGTTTCCAACATTTATAGGCACGCTAAATGTCTGTGGTAATAGCTGCTGGACTGATACTGAGAGCAGTGGATTAATCTGCACTTGGTATGCAGAAGAGAATACTGCAAACCAACATGCTCATCAAAGAATGTAATCTTTAACTGGATGCTTTTGCTTCCAAGTGAAAAGTTCATCTGGAAGAAAATGTCTCAGGAGCATGGTTAAAGCACAAAATGATCAAGCTACTCACTGAGATATTTATTTATTTATTTATTTATTTATTTATTTATTTATTATCTATCTATTTACTTATTTTTGTTAATCCTTACCCAAGGATATTTTCTCCATTGATATTCATACAAGCATGCACCCCTGACTGGGAATCGAACCCAAGACCCTTTGGTGCGCAGACCACACTCCAACCACTGAGCCACACCAGCCAAGGTTTCTTTGTATGTATGTATTTATGGGGATTCTGATTTAATTTCAGGTAATACTTACAACTGTATTTTTAGATATTGCCCTGGGAGATTTTTCAAATTAGATGAGTTTTGTTGTGTGTGTTTTTTTAATTGTTCTAAGATTATTGAAAGAGGTTATATAATAGGTCCAGAGACTTGGGGCCCACCATACTGAGGTCATGGTTGTATTGATTTGGCTGTTTAAAGGAAGGCCAGGAGAATGCCATGGAAATAGCTAGGTTTTGGTTGGGAAAGCAGAATATCATAAAGTCCTAAGACATACCTGGCTAGTTTCATACTATATTTAATGCTATTAACTGTCAAATGAGTTTTATTTCAGCGAACATTATATATGACAAATAGAATGACCTCTGCTTATTTGAATGAAGTCCTTCCTCATTCTCCTTTTCTCTGAGAGAAATATTTCCAGGTACTCTGACCATTCTTCATAAATCCTATTATTTAGCTTTTCACATATTTGTAAGTTCATAGTCTTCTGGTTACTATATTTTGCCTGAGCATTGCACCTGTTTCAGGTTATCAGTATAACTTGATAGATATTTTCCCTAAGGTAAGGCAAAAAGGCTGCACTTACCACTGCGGTTGAACAAAGGTACAATCTGCTTGCCTTTAGAAATTGGTGTTTTCAATGACTTCCAGAGATACTGCTGAACAAGACATTTCTTCACCATCCTCGATGAAAAATGAACATTAATAATGCAGATAAGAACCAGGCCAAGCAATGCTGAAAAGAAAACAAGGTCCAGAAGCCCTAATTCCTTTTAGTGAGATAAATTTAAAATGATAAGTTCAATAGTTCCACCATAACAAAGAATGAGGTGAGTATTGTTTAACCCTTAAGTTCTAAAAAGTTAAGTATCAATGTATGGACTCTTATACCTTGGAAATATTTATGTATATATCTATGTATACCTATATCTACACTTACACTATGTTTATTTCTTATATAATAGAGAGGAAGTGTATGTGCTCTTATGGATGTCATATATGTTTTAATGTTTATTATATGTATACCCACTATTACTATAGTATACCAAAGCTGAGTTTCATTGGTAACTTTTGTGATGTTATTACTTTATATATTTTACCTATAATGACAGGTCTCTAATATAGTACACGAGAGGAAAAGATCTTAGAAAGGTAAATAAGTTAAGAGAAGAACAATTTAAAGCAGTGCTAAAAATTAATTAACTAATTTGCTCATTCACAAATTATCTACTGAGCACCTCCTGTGCACAAAATACTGTAAAGGATACAAAGTACTTAAGGTCAGTGTCTGATTATCAGACATTATCCGGTGTGTGTGTTCTCATGGCAGAAGTGGAGGAGAAAGGCGATGAGAGGAAGAAGCCCACATTCCAACCACTGCAGCGAGGCAGTTTACATGCCATACAAATGGCATATGTGAGGTCCTGGTTTGCCTAGGAGGGTCTGCACTTACTCCTGCTGCTTTAGTGTAATTATTAACAGTCCTCTCCTTCATTCTCAAAAATGTCTGGGGTTGGGCATGTACATCAATATCCCATAGCATTCATAGGAGATAAAATTCTCTTCCAGTAATAAGAAACAAGGAAGCTGTCGCCAAATCCGGAAGGGTGGGTTTGTTTCAGGAGGTAGAAACAGAGATGAGGAGGGTGATCAAGGCTTATGTCTCATCATTGCTTTCTTGTTTCCCCCGTAGCTTCTTAAATTATGTCCCTGCTTTCTATTTCCTTTTCCTAAAAGTCAAAATCTGCTCTAATCAGCACCTTCACTTGTATGAACTCATTCCACGCTCACAAGAATTATTACTACCATTTCTGATGAAAATTTGGGGCAAAGAGGGATTAAGAAGTTGTCCAAGGTTGCTGGTAAGTAGTTTAACTGACATTTGAATCCAAATAATCTGGCTTCAGAGTCTATGCTTTTGACCTCTATTCTAGAAAATTTCTGATGTTTTTGGGCTGCCCTACTCCTCTGATTCTTCTAACCTAGATCAGAATTTACCCTGTTATAACTACCCCTGTATTCTCCCATAGAGTAAATTTGTACTTACTTCTTTTGCTGAGCTACAAGAATAATCCTAATAATAACAGATGTTGGGAAAGCAGTTTAGTGGTTGAGAGGAATAGAATATCGTCACATATTTAATTGGCGGTGATAGCTGAGTATTCAAGTATAAATGACCAATCTTTGGAACTGCAGCACAGGCTTGGCAAAAAGGCGAATGCTGCAATATAAAACTAAAAGGAGAGGAAAAGTTAATAAACAGTAAAGGCAAAGAACCTAAAATACAAGAGGAGGCCTAGAATAGTTTATTTAGTTTTATTGACAGCAAAGAAAGATACAATTTTTAAACATATATGTATATTTTGTTGATTTCAGAGAGGAATGGGGGGGGCGGGGAGAAACATCAATGATGATAGAGAATCATTGATCAGCTGCCCCCTGCATGCCCCACATTGGGGATCAAGCATGCAACCTGGGCATGTGCCCCAACTGGGAATTGAACTGTGACTTCCTAGTTCATAGGTTGACGCTCAGTCACTGAGACATACCAGCCAGGCAGAAGATACAATTTAATGAAGGAGGTGGTGATGATCATTAACATCGAATTCTGAAAATCCATGAAATATGATGACGACTGAGTAAAGATAATTGGATTAGGCTAATTTTAGACTGGTGGAAGTAAGAGGCGGATTTGAGAGCATTAAAGAGAGAAAGAAGGTGCTTTGGAAGAATAAAATTCAGCATCTGTTTGATATTTGAATCTGTCCATCACAAGTTCTTTCACACAGCTTGAAAAAAAGAAGAAAAACCTGTGTATTAATGCTTGCCCATTTCCCATGAAATATATACATATTGTGGCAAGTTTAACACAGGGTAGTGAAGTCATTAATAGTTTAGTGAGCAAATTAAATTTTCTATCACAATATATTTTTCATGAAGAATTTACACAAAATATAATTACCTATAAATTTATTTTAAGAAATTTCTGGTCCCCATACCTTCATTAAAAAAAGGTTGTTACATTCCTGGAAAACAAACAAAAAAAGAAAATGAAATGCTGCAGTTAGGATTGAAGCTCTGTGAACATCTTGCCTTTTTAAGTAAGCATTAAACAGGGGAGACGTAATTCATGATAACCAGTAGCAGAGTATGTACAGCTTTGCTTCACATGGGTAACAATCTTTGTTCATATATCCACCTTTTGTATTTTCTAGTCCTTTCCCTCCTCATGTTATTGAAAGAATAATAGCCAGAATTGCATTTTGAAAACTCAAAGTGCTATGTTAATAAGATTATTCACAGCCAAATTTTCGCATAAATATCATTGGGGCCTATATTTCATTGAATTTTAACTGCGATAGAAGGTGATAAGTGTAGAACCCTGATTTTAGAAGGTAATTTTTAAAAGGAATGAGATAATGGGACTGTAGGTCAAAATGCATCAGACTTGAGCAGTTATTTTGCAAGAATAAAATAAAAACAGTTTTGAAAATGCAAATCCAGACAAAAAGGATCAATCAAGAGTCAGAGAGATAATAGATACAAGAGAGGAGAATAAACCATGGAACAAAGTATCAGGGTCTGTAGAAATGAATGGGGGAAAGTGATCTCTGGGAAGAAATGAAGGAAAGGAAAGGGAGAGAGAAGAAGAGAGTGAAAGAAAAGACAGCAAAGAGACGGGCAAGGAAGGGAAGGGAATAGAAAGGAAAGGAAGAGAAGGAAGACATTTTTCATTGGAAGAGGAAGGAAGTTGAAGAAGTTCTTGACAATGTCCTCATGTTTCTTGGTGAAGTAAAAGCCAGTTATCTAAAAATATGAGTGTTCTGAAGGCATGATAAGGAACGTGAGCAACATTAAATTGACATTGCAGATTATCCACTTGTGATGTTCAGAATTTCTTGGTGATGCAACTTCCCCAGCAATACTTGGCTGCCTGGAATATTTTCCTCTGCCAGTGCCTTTGCTGCCACACTGGTTGAATAAATATTGACAACCTCATAGACTATTCCCATGTGCCAGGAAGAAATGTATTATCAGCTGCACTTGATTGAAGTAATATTTTTGATTATGAACCTTTTAATAAATTCATAGTGATTCAGAAACATTTATTTTCTTACATAATAACATGAACTTTCTGTGCACATTGATATGATATGCAATTACAGGACATATTTTCTGTCTTTAATATAGCTATTACAGTTCTAATGTCTGAACTATCTGGTACACACATACAAATCTCAAACTTAAGAGGATGAGTGATTGTGTAACCCAGTGGTTTCTAGATTCCATGTACTAGTAGAACACAAATAGTTAATTTGGCCAAATAAAATATTAAATAAACAACCCACTACAAATCGTTGTAACCATAATTTCTAAAAGAGCTTTATAATGAAAATAATTTTAGTCTTTTTAATAAATGTATTTATTATTCATTTATTTTTTAAATTCTTTATTTTTGTTATAGTGCTCTTATGGGTATTCTGAGAACAGCACCCTCTTGCGGGCATTTAGAAAACAGCACCTAGTAAGATATTCTGCAAGGCTGAAAAAAAATTCCTTGTCTCACAGCTCTCTTAAACTGTACTCCTGTTTTTTCTTTGCCTTTTCTTTTTGCTTCTTTGATTGAGTGATTTTTTTTCCACCCTGTCATCTAACTCACTGATCCAATCCTCAGCTTCCCCTCATCTGCTGTGTACTCCTGCCAAATTTTATTAGTGCTATGTCAGCCTTTATTTCTGATTGTTCTTTTTCATAGTTACTATAACTTTTCTCATGCTGTTGAGCATCTTTACCATCACTATTCTGAACTCTATATCAGGTAAATGTCTTATCTTCATGTCATTTATCTCTTCCTCTGGAAAATTCTCTTGTTCTTTCACTTGGGGATTGATTTTGTCTTCCCATTTTGGCTACCTCTTTGGATCTGTGACTATGTATTAGGTAGATCTGCTACGTCTCTCAATCTGTAGTGCAGGACAGTGTCCAACAGTGTTTATGACTAATTAGATCAGGCAAAGACTCAAAGCCTCCGGAGACCTGCCTCTGCCTGAAGACTGATTGGATTAACTCTTGAGTAACCCTCAGCCAATGGTCCACAGGTGTGGAGAGAGGTTTCCAACAGGTTGGGCTAATTGCTTCTGACTGGGGGCTAATTGTCATTCTCATTCTCCTAATGGGCCTCAGAAACTCCACAATGTGGGGCAAAGTGTTTTCCAATAGGGTGGGAAAACTGTCTTCTCCTCAGGCAAAAACCACCTTGATAGCAAAAGTCTTCCCAAGAAAGATGACCTCTCCAGCATGACTCAGCAAGAAACCATGGTGTCTGCCTTCTGAGCTTTAACTCCAGAGCCCTCAACCCTGGCTTCTGCATACCCAGCTCCAGTCCATTCTACCCACCCTCTGCCGCAGCACAAGGTGAGTGACTGCACACGAAATTTTGTGTGTTGGCCCTTTAAGAGGGTGCCTGCATTTCCAGCCATCTCTCCCTCACAGGCAGCAACCCTGCTGCTTTTCACAGTCAGATGTTATGTGAGCACCTTTCTCAGTTCTGGTGCTCTCTGCTGGGGGATGACGACCCAGAGTTCTCAGTGGGAACACTCCACAGCTGAGATATCTCTCCAAAACTTCAGCTGCTATCTTTGGGAGCCTGACCAGCACTTTTGCAATTTTGCCCTTTCTTCCA